CCACCGACACCCCAGTAAATGCTCTGGAACACACCTGCAGGAAAATAAGAAAGAAGGTTATTAGTTCAGCGAATACGTAAGTGTTTTCACGCTTAACTCGCAAAGCTTGTTTTAATTTGTTTCTCAGGTGATAGACACTAGAAACAACCTTTGCAGGTTGTGACCCGCTTGTTTTAAAATTGTTCAACTTAGAAAACTCAAAACAATGCTAAAACAGTGCTTCCTATTACCTTGTACGGTTGCCAGGCAATCCAGAGGAGAAGAATTCGCCAAATACGTGGTACATACTACGAATGAAGTGGCAAATGTGAATCCTTCCAGTAGACCAAGAGGGATGAGCTGCCAAGAACTTGTTACAAAGGAGCATGCAAAATGATTAAACATGTACGACACTAGAACAGTGAATATCATATTTATATCTCCCATATGGCGTATCAGTTTATGACTCAAGAAAAAGCCAAGGGGTTCTCCAAGGAAGCCAAAAAACATTATTGTAGAAGTAATATGCCCCCCTTTGGCCTTAGAGAGATAAGTGACGTGAAATTTTGAAATCACTGAATGTGAAAAGCCCATGAAAGCCGCGGTCGCAGCAAACGTTCCGTAATGTTTTGTGTTGTAAGTAGTTTTGAGCCTCTCATTGGGGAAATTTTCAACTGGCCTTTGTGGTATCTCGAACTTGATTAAGACTAGTAATATCACAATAGTAATTACACAATAAAAGCAAAAGTTGATAACGTAGTCGGCGTAGATGTGCCCGCACATTTGCCGCTGAGAATTGTTGACTAAGATCCCGGTAATGAGGAAAAATATTAGGTAGCCTATTGAACCAAATTGCTTTTGATATCCATACACAGCTGTATCCTCCTCCACTTGCTTGGCGAGTAACACTGTATCAGCCATGAAGAAAACTGGACATAAGAATATTTCCTCGAAAACAACCAGAGCTAAAGCACCAACAAATATATGATGGAGCCGAGAAGTGTTTTCCCTAAGCTCATTCCTTGTGGTAAAATTGAATTGAATTTGATTGAGTGGCTCTTTGGGTTTTGACTTGAGATTAGAAATTGGAATTGTGGTGATGCTGCGAGTATTGTTGTTACTGGTAATGTTAGGCTCTCTACTATGGTCAAATGACTCTCCGGTTCCACTTCCTGATACTTCACTCTCTTGAGGCGATCCCGAACCAGATGATATCTGTACCTCAACGCTGTCAAAGCCATTGGTACTACGTAAGTCGTTTATGGGATTCCTAGGAATCAGCTTTGATCGTCTTGTAAAATACTCACTAACTCGTCTTCGCCTGAAGAATCCTGTCTGCATCACAGTGGAGTTTATAACTTTCGAGTCAGTTTCGTTGAGAGAAACCAGCTGGCACATCTGGCCAGTGGGCTCAACAAAGGCCAATGAAATGGTCCCTATAAGCCACACAAAAGTGCAAAACTGGAGCATCATTTTCTTTGGCAAATAACGATCAGCAAGAACTCCCCACAATGGACTTAAAAGGAGTTGTACAAATGGACGAACGCTAACGAGGACATCAACTTGATACGAAGAGAAACCGATTTGTCGAAAGTATGATGACAGAAACGGGAATGTTGTCGCCAATGAACTGTACAAGAAGAAATAGAATGCTTTAAAAACAAGAAGAGGCTTGTCGACTCGAGCGAGGTGGACATCACTTTGGTTAAGAAGTCTCTGAAATGTGGACCGACTGTAGTTTGTACTCATTTGGTCTGCAAATTCAACGAGCTCTTTAACGTTCTTTTTACGTTTTAAGTCCATTACATCAAGCACGGTTCAGCAACGAACAGAGAAGTTACGCTACGGTTCCTAACATTTTCTATGAGATCAGCCCAAACATTGGGGGCTATTGAGAGATAGAGTACAACTGATCCACATCCGGGGATTGCTCGCTTGCGCAGGTGGTAAGAGCAAACAGCCGGTGGCAGACTTTTCTGTGCTGGTCATGTGGCCGGTCACGTGCTAAATGTTAAGAAATTATAAACAGACGTGTGGGACAAGACACAGAACAACGTGTTTAAAGTAGAGGACAAAACGAACCCTGTTCATGATTCAAAACTATGGTTGATTTTAAAGAATTTGAAAAGGAATGATTTTTACTCTAATCCTGAATTTGTCTGCTGGACAAGTTTTCTCTTGCGTAGCTAATGAAACAGTTGTTAGGGTCCACTTCTTTTCACTCATGATTAGAATTCATCGAATAATTTCAGCAGCCTTGGGACACTAAGGAGACCTCTTCTGCAAAGTGCCACTCGTCCTTTAATTTTTTTCTTTTTGCGGGTAAACTTTAGTTCCTCGTAGAGGCTTGCACATTAAAACTGAAGAAGTCATTGTTTTTCTTTGAAACTGTATCAGAGAAAAGTTTTTTTACCGTTTCTATGGATGACCAGTCTATGCATAATTCTTATAACAGCTGATCAGTTTTAGAAAATGTGTAATCTGTATTCAGTCTAATCTCATTTTATTTGACGCCGTTTGCATTCTGCTTGGTGAGATAAAAAGAAACAAAGGAGGAGAAGAAAATAACAAGCAATTCCCCAGGTGGTCAATAAGCCAGTTAAATTGTTTCATCACCATATCTTAACACTGGTGGGACAGATCGTTTGAACAGGTAAATTCAGTTACCTAATCTAGAGATTTATTGGTTCCGGACGCAACTCACAAAAGAGTTCTTTGACGACAAAATGATAAAGGAGGATAAAAAAAGTTCAAATAAAGGAGACCATGAAAGGGAGACCACTAAGCGCTTTAAGGATTCGCTCGGAGAAGAACTTCAAGTGGACAGGACGTTGTTATGCTACAAAGCATTTTATTTCCTATTTTTCGCTGGATTTGGAGCGTCGTTTCCATATATGGCACTATATTTCAAGCAGATTGGTCTGAGCGCCAGCTCTGTTGGAATACTAGCAGGAATAAGGCCAATTATTCAATTTGTTAGTGGCCCTTTCTGGGCAATTTTAGCCGACCGGTTCAAGGCCAGGAAAGCAGTTTTGTTATTCTCAATTTTTTCATGGCTCATAATGACCTTGGCTCTCTTGATTCCTACAACCCACAAGACACAGTGCAAAGCCATTAAAGAGAATACTACTGAAGTTGACTTGTCAGTGAGTCGACGGCAGCAGTTAATTCAATTTGGTGCTCAGAGAGAGTACTCAAAATCAACCTCCCATATGCGAGGAAATTTCGACACTGACAAGAACACTAAGCGGGTTAATAGACCAAGTGGCGCAAAACTACTTTTTCATATTTCTCCATTTCAAACGTACTTCCTACCAAGCTCTCATGAAGAACCTGATTTTGAAGTGGGCCATCCCAACCCGAAGATCTACGATTTGGTTTATGATCAGACCGAAGTGTATCAAGTATTTATTTACTTGTTGATTTTAGTTGTAATCGGAGAGTTCCTTGAGGCACCAACCTTCATAATGACCGATGCTGCCTTGCTGCAGAAGTTAGGAGACGAACGAAGGCATTATGGAAAAACTCGATTGTTTGGATCGTTAGGTTTTGCGTTTGCTTCATTAACAGTTGGCGGGTTACTCGACAGCACGGAGTATAGGTACTGTGGACGAGTTATGAACGATTACAGGTTGCTGTTTTATTCATTTGGCATCATCATGGCTCTGGTATTTTTATTTGCAGCTTGGATGTTTGAGTTTACGTACGATGAAGCAGAAAATAAGGAACTCGGAGAACACACTGGAACTACTAAAGAGATCTTAACATTGTTGCTTAAATTTCAGTATGCATTCTTTATTACTATATCGTTTTTTCTTGGATTATCCAATGGATTATTTTTTAACTTTCTCAACTGGTATCTTGAGGACCTCGGAGCAAGCAAATTATTGATGGGAATTGCAACAATTTTTCGTGCTATTGCTTTAATTATTGCATACATATTCAACGCGCTTTTATCGAAGCTATTTGGCCATGTGCGCTTGATGCTGTTTAGTGTACTGGGATATTTTGTATTATTTGGAAGTTTCTCCATCATCCATAATCCTTGGTGGGCATTGCTATTGGAGTTCTTAGAAGGAATTACTTACGGAACAGCTTGGTCCACAGCTGTCACTCATTTGGCTGATGCTACACCTCAAGGTGGTGCCGCCACAATGCAAGGTCTCGGTTACTGATCAGACAGTACTATTGATGATGTAGAAAATTGATACTATATAGTGGAAATGTAACAAGATAATTAATTTCGCCTACATGATGTCTCAAGTCGGGCCTCTGTTCTTAAGAAGTCTATGTTTAATAACTACTTAATCATTTAGTAAAATGCTATAGAAGTAACCATGTCGAGTTTTCCTTTTCTCTGAACATTAAAGCAGTGTTTTCTTTCCAGGTATCCTTCAGGGAATTTATTGGGGTCTTGGAGGAGGTTTGGGCGCCATTTTTGGAGGAATTCTTATGGATGAATATGGAGCTGTACCGTCTTTCCGTTCAGGGGCTGTTATCTCAGCCACGGTCTTAATTGTCAGCGGCTGTATTCAAGCTTGCATTTCCCAAACAAAGGAAGAAGAGAAGTTGAAAGCGTTTTGTGGAAAACGCAATGAAATACACTGACATCTCTCATCTCTTCATTCACGGCAGACAGCAAACGCGTTCCAGTGAAAGTTGGTCGCATTAGACCTGATGCAATTTTGAGCGGTTTGAAATTTAAAAAAAGAAACCTGAAGGAAGTGACGAAGTCTTTCTCCTAATTATATTCAAGCCAGCGTAATGAGTGCATTGAAATCTAGCTTTTCTTTTGAGAAGTCAGCCCTGACTGATTGCTGCCTGAAGGATTTCATTTGCTATATCATTGTAACTTTTATTTGATCAATAATTTGCCAATTAAACTTTACTTTCCTCAAATTTTGTCCTTTTTTAGATAGATTATTTAAAAACCGAGATTTGAGTGAATAGAACATTCAGATCTGAATGGATGAAATGACATGGTAGAGGCTTCACTTATCACAATTCTATAGAAGCTTCCAGTCCTCAATAACTGATGCATTGTTCTTCATGCTGGTTGTTTTATTTGGCGTATTAAGGATTTTTAATCCACAAGGGGTTTTTAACCCACAAGGGATTTTTGGATGAAGCAACAGATGAAATCAGTGCACGTAAATAAAGAGGATACTCGCCTGAATTTTCCGTAGTTCACACTCCGAACCTGTATCATCGATACATAAGAAATGGTTAGTATGACTGACATCAATATATCTATATATACAACATGTAACGAGGATGAGCGCGCTTCGATTCACTCGAAGGGTGGAGAAGCTGAAAGCTCGTGTTACCATGAAAAGTCGAGAAAAGAGTAAAACTATAGCACTACTGTAAGATAAACTTATAATGATATTTATTTGAAAAACGATATTGAGCTTTATTGAGCGCTAATATCCATCTTTTACCTGGACCTAAGATCAGTAAAAGATAAAGCAAACGCGATGCTCTTTTGTTATCATCATACCGTGACGAACTTTGTTTGCGTAGCACGAAGTTTTGTGTTTTTGATAAAATGAACCACGAGCTAAGATCGGCTTGGGCTTGTTTGATTGAAAGGAGGAAAACTCACTAGTTAAAAGATACATTACTTTCATGTAGGGTTTTTGAGGGGCAAATTCAACGTACCATCAGGAAAATGTATTTTAATCTTTTCTAAGGCTCAACGAATGTGCTGCTTGCAATTTCGGAAAAAATTGTTTCCCACCAACCATCAACGTAGCTGATGAATTTTGTTCATTTAGACCGAAGATCTTTTCCTAAGGAATTAACACCATCAGAATTACTCTTCAAATGTCTTTAGTCTTAACCAAATTTAAATACCTTTTATCATTCCCAGCTGAGTTCATTACAAAGCTTTAGTGTGCAAACTTTTTGATGATTAGATCATGGACAAAAGATTATTGTAGAAAATGAATGTCATTATATGTGTGGTGAGATCATCTTCTTTGCACACCTTGTACCATATGCTGTTTGTTCTTTACCAATTCATTCTAGTTCATTCTTATCGAATTTCTGTTAAGTTTGATAAAAACTGGCGAACTCGCATGGTTTTAAAAGGCCTCGTGTGGGAGAATTACGGGAAGTTTCGTTGACGACACACTCTTAAATCACGTATTCATAGGAAATGCAAATTTCTCTTTTCTCCATGGTTTCCCGGGTAGTGAGCCATGGAAGTATTAATTTCTTGCATAATTATTTTAGCGGGCAAATATAATTTGTGAGGTTGAACCGACAGGAAGAGTGGCGTAAACATCATTTGTTTCTTAACTTTACCCCATGAAAAGTGATGTGACGGGCCTGTTCCTTTAAGGACCACGTCGCACGCTCCAATCACTTTCGCGTGTATTGCCTCACTATATTTTGGCCATTCTTCTTCATCTCCAGACATTAACGATTGTTTTACCGCCTTTCTTAGCAATCCATCATGGACCTAGAGGACAAAGAACAAAAGGGAGAAGAACAATCTCCTGTTCAAAAGCACAAGAAGACGACCGAAAATTTAAGGAAGAAAAAGAATCCAAAGCAGTCAGACTACTTCAAGTGCTTTTACGAGGCAGACTACCTAATTTTCAAAGGATTTTGTTTCTTTATTTATGCTGCGTATGGTGGTTTTATTCCTTACCTTCCACTGTATTTTAAACAGCTATTCTTGGGCGCTAGTTACGCAGGGATCATTATTGGTATCCGACCTCTTATTCAGTGTGTTGGAGCACCATTCTGGGGAGTCATAGCTGACAGATATCACGCGGGAAAAGTCATATTCTTGGGAAGTGTCATTGCGTGGATCGTGAAAGCTTTTCTTCTCCTTGCTGTGCGACCACACAATCAACAATGCATTGAGATATACCTGAACGAAACATCTAATATGAGTTACGTTTATGCTTACGATCTTTGGAACACAGAGGCTACCGAGGAACCAAAATGGGTGGTTATCCCACTGCATCATCCAATTATGGTGGAAAAAAATAGAATTACTGTGGTCGATACACAAGCAAACACACAAGCAATCAAGAGTGAAACTGGCGAACTTCCCGAAGAAGTATTAATAAAGAATGCACCTCTTCAACAGAGGAAGCCTAGTCATAAAAATGCTTCCCGGCATCACACGAAACCTAGAGGTAAACTGGGAGCCATGACAGCGATAGAGAAAAGAAATAGAAGAAATACGTCAAACCATGATCTTGTTCAGGATGCGGACAAAGATAAAAATGTACCTTCCATACTTGGGGAAAATCAAGTTGGAAAAAGGTTTGAACTTAAATTTAGCCATATGGTGAAAGTTTACAGTGAAGAATTAGATGCCTCGGTAGAATTTATCACTCAGATTGATACGTACGAAATTGACTTCATGTTCGTCATGTTTACGTTAATTATTATCATTGGGGAATTTTTTGAATCTCCGACCTACGCTTTGTCAGATGCTTCTCTTCTCAAGAGACTTGGAGACGATAGAGAGTACTACGGACGTATTAGGATGTGGGGCTCACTTGGCTGGGCCATGGCGGCAACTATGGTCGGACTTATAATCAATTATTCTACTTTCAAACTTTGCCAATGGCAACAAAACAACTATATAGTTGCTTTTTTCGTCTTCATCGGGTTTGTCGCAGCTGCATTTGTAAACGCGTTGTGGTTTCGCTTTACCTACGATGAAGAAAAAAAATTTGAAGATATCGGAAAAGTTGCGCCAATCCTTCTAAGCCTTCGTCACACTTCATTTCTGATGGCGACCTTGTACACGGGTTTCTGTTATGGAATACTTGTTCATTTTGTCAACTGGGTTATTGATGATCTAGGGGGATCCAGTTCTATCATGGGGGCTGCGGGCGCTGCAAGAGAAATAGCCGCTATAATCATGTTTGCCATGAGTGCTACAACTCTCCAAGCCCTTGGCGATGTCAACACAATGGTATTCTCTCTATTAGCTTACATTATCTGCTTTATTTGTTACTCTAATCTTGGGAATCCCTGGATGGCTGTGGCATTAGAACTGCTGGATGGAGGAACTTATGGTTTAGTTTGGTCCTGTTGTGTTCATTACATGAGCGATGTTGGAACAAAGCTGGGTGTCGTGGATACCACACAAGGTGACCAACTCACCAAAAAATTTTCCTTTTTAATCAATCTTTTAAGTACCGAGAGTATTTGAATGTCCTGGATTGTAGGTGACTGTTAAAAGAGTTGAATGTACGTTAAATATTTCACTCGGACAATGCGATCGAACCAGTATGATCCCTCAGGTGTTGTTTTTCGTGGAATTGTTTAAAGTTGGCCTCCATATTTTGCAAAAAATTCACCAGCTAGGAATGCTTGCCTCATAAAAAGGGCGAAAAAAAGGAGAAACGTAATACAATAGGACTGTTTGATCCCTATAAAGGCTGTCAAAAACTTAACCGAGCATGAAAAGAAATGCCAATATTGCTGACAGACACTCACAGACTATTAGCTCATGGAATATGTTTGGGGTTTTCTTTCCCTTGATTTTATAGAGTTTCTAGATCAGGAACCCGAAAAAGAAACTTAATTTGATAATCGATCGTCCACCGAACCAACTGCAACAACAAGAAAGATCACTCTAGACAAAATTACGTGGTTATCATTGTCTATGTTTTTCAACCGCTCATTTTTGACATCGATCATAATTCTAAATGAGCGAGCCAGTGTTTTTGGCAACTGATCCTTTCAGACTTCGCGGTTGAGATTCAATTTCAGTGGGTTTCTTACGAAAAGCAAAGCCGCCCGACAGTAGTTTAGAATGTTATTTGACTGAAAACTACTTTACTTTTACGTTTGCAGGGATCCTTCAAGGAATATTCTGGGGACTTGGTAACGGTGGCGGTACTATGATCAGTGGTGCACTGATCGAGTCGTTCGGCGCTACGAACACGTTTCGTGCATTTGCCTTGGGTGGTACTGTAGTGCTTGTTATTCTCATTCTTGCTCAGTATACGGCAGGTCTACTCGAGCGGAGAGAAAACAAACGTAAAGAGTACGAGTTACTCTCCGAGTCGGAGAGTGATGGGTCAAAGAGTGAAGAACCGCAAGAGCATTCAGAAGAGGGGGAAGGTGGATATAAAGGAAAGCTGTCCAAAACCACTCACTGACAAGTGATGTGCTGATGGACTTTATGGACGAGCCGGCGCAGAGAATGTTAAGGACCTGAGGACACAATGAAACAACCATCCATAGTTTATGAAGGTCCTCCGATATATTTTTTTTAACTAATTAATGAGGGAAAAAAGTCTGCATGGAAATCATGATTGGTATACTTAAGCTGTTGCACTGGGGGGAATAATTTATATCAGTTGAAGGCGATACATACGACTTGAATTGAAGAAAACATTATCAGATTAATAATAATTTATTTCTATGTTTATTTGCGTTATTTCTGGGAAAACTTTCTTACGGAATCCAATCTGGAAATTAAATTGGACCGGATATCATTCAATGCGAATCCTTATTGTGATTTTTACTAGATGTTTTCATCCAATTTTTAACACAGATTGCATACGTATTACAAAGTACCGTTGTTGGTGTAAAATTAAAAGAACTGTTGTTGGTAAATAAAAACAAGGGTCTCAGTTTAATAGGAATAAACCACTGAGTTGCCACGTCTGTCACAAGTCTCCCTACGCCTCATTCTACTCTCAGATGACCTCACAGCTTTCAAAGCAATGGTTATTGAAGAAGGGAGAGGGTCACACTTAGACTACTTACCCTACCGAAATGTTGAAATCAATGCTGTGTTCTACATAAATGGCATTTTGCGGAATTAGCATGGAGGGATTCATGCCCTTTAGATTTTTTGGATAGAAATTACTTGATTTATAAGGGTTGTACGATGTTACATTAACAGAGACGAGGGATTAAGGGCACCTTAAGACCTTCCCCTATCAATTCCTCGGTGGAAAAACCAGCAGATTGTTTGCAAAAGTATAGACTGGGAGTTAAGACAAGTGATCACATCTATGATACTAAAAGTGGTAAAGCCTTTAAACAGAGTCAAACTAATCCTATACAAAGCAAAATGATTGAGTGATCCTATCACTGGTAAGTTGTAAAACAGTAAAACCTAGTCTTGAGCTGATCCAATTTTAATAATAAAAAAAAGTTAAATAGAAAGTCAACAAACCCAGGGCTTTTCAATGACATCTAGATTTTTGTTTTGTTTTTAAGTTTCCAAAAGTGATGCTGTCCTTTACAAATTTTAACTGTTTATACTTCATGGAATGCATCACACTTAGTGTAGCTCTATTCTTTGAAATGTTCCAAGGTTCTTGCTGAAGGATCTGTGGCATTAGTCCACTTTGGCATCCACAGATATGGGATAAAATGGCCCTGGTCTGGGAAAAACTCTTCAAAGATCTGACGGTAATAGAAGCCTTCCTTGGTTTTGGGGGTGTTATCTGGGTAAACCTCAGCTGCTGCAGCTAGTGCTTCATCAGGGACCTGGTTATTGATGTGATTCTGTAAAATCTCAAACCATGCCTGTCCAGGCTTAGTAGAAGACACTCCATCAGAGAATGCCTCTTTAGCTCGCCAAAGAATCTCCTTGGGTAATGCATCTGTTTTATCAAAAGATACCCGCAGAAGCCACTTTTCAATACCATCTTTAGGCTGTCGCATCTCAGGAGGAAGAGATAAGAAATAAGAAGTGAATTGAACATCTAAGAAGGGAACACGGATTTCCAGACCATGTGAAGCTGTTGAGCGGTCACCACGCAGAACATCGTACAAGTAAAGATCTTCCAGCAGTCTTCGAGATTCTGCATCTGCATCTTCTGGGGTTGGTGCCTTATGGAAATAGATGTAACCTTGACACAGCTCATCAGAACCCTCACCAGAGTAAATTACTACAGTGTCAGTTTCTTTGCTGATGTACTTACTGACAAGGTACATTCCAACTGATGCTCTGATTGTTGTTATGTCCCATGTTTCCAAGGCATAGATCACTTCACGCAAAGCTTGGAGTCCCTCCTCTGCAGTAAAGATTACCTCATGGTGTTCACTCCCTACAGGAATAAATTCACAGCCAAGTCATTATTGTCAAATGTCAGTGAGAATACTTCCCAATCATTTTCAAAGCTTTGCTGTGGTTGAACTTTAAATCACAAAGAAAACTTCTGACAAACCATAAGTGTTAGCCCTTATAAGCTCTGAAAAGTTGACTGTAATAAAATAAAAGTTGAATTGACAAGTTTGTTGCATTAGGATATGCATGCCCTTTCAAAATGATGGTGGTTGCCATATCAAAATCCTACATACCTAGAGTGAATACAGTCCTACATTGTGAAGCATTATAATTAACTTTAAACTGTTAGCATGACTTAGCAAGAATATCAAGTCACCAACAACAGTTCTTTTCAGAACTACACTCACCCAGACAATCACACAATACGAACTACTGATACTCCTGGGTTCAAACCATTTACTTTACTTGGCAAGAATATATGGGATATTTTGAATAAAAATTTTACCACAGCACAGCCCATTAATATGTGTTTGAAATTAATAAGCAAACAAATATCTGAACAAACCAATGTGATTTGCCACTTTGCGAGCTGCAGCAACATCTGTACTTCCTTCCATTCCTATTGAGAAGGTCTGGATTGGGTAGTCAATTCCACTTTCTTTTGCAAGCTTGGTTAGATAGGATGCCACTAAACTAGAGTCCAAGCCACCAGAGAGCAAACAACCAATTCTACGGTCTGCCATGAGGCGCTTACGCACTGCTTCGGTGAACAACTTTCTGATGTTTTCCATGACATCGCTGGAGTCAGGCTTTACTTTGGTTTCAAAGACGGGGGGCTTGCCAACCTTTGTGTATGCCTTTTGCTCAATAAATGTAGTTAATCCTTCTTCATTTGACAAGCTGTATGATGCATATTGACCTGGGGGGAATGGCTTTACCACAACCTTGTTGCCATTTTTTTCAAAATTTTTGATGAGAGGAACAAGGCCTTTTGCTTCAGAGCTTAAAGCCAAAATTCCTGTTTTCTTTCCAGGTGCAGACAAAGTAAACAATGGACGGATACCAAAAGTATCTCTTCCAATGTGAACTTGTCTTTTCTTTGTGTCGATAACACAAAAAGCAAAAACACCATCTAGCCTTTGAGCCATTCCTTCAACTCCAAACTTGTCATAGAGATGCAGAATGACTTCCCCATCACATTTGGTGAAAAAGTCAAAGTCATACTTCTTCCCAACTTCTTTGTGGTTGTAAATCTCTCCATTGTAAATTAGGTAAAGGTGTGGCAGTGCTTTGATTCTCATTGGTTGCATGCCATAAAGATCATCAACAATAGCCAGGCGGTGGAATGCCACACAGCAGTTCTTGAAATGGGGAATTGTCTCCATACGGAACACATCAGGTCCTCTTTGGCAGATTTTCATGGCAAGGCTGGCATACTTTGAGTATTCTGGGATTCCAAATATAGCCCAGATCCCACACATTCTGCTTAGTGGTGAGTCCTGACCTGAAATCAATGTATGTAAGTACATTTTCTATTAGTTACATGTGTCATACTTAGTCAAGAAGTAATATTTGTATCGTTGTTGTGGTGTTTTTCCCATCTTAGACACCACACCTAATTTTCCTTGAGCATTATACCCAAAAGTCAAGCTGTAAGGACAGACTTTCAAATCGCTTCTTTTCTCAGCAGAATGATTCAGAAAAGACAACACCTTGAACATCAGTCTTCTTTTAAGGGAGAGTGTCATTGAAAATGCTCACTTAAAATGTACACAGGGTTGATTCATTTGTGCTCCTCACAAGAGGGCAAGATATAAGGTTTTGTAGAACACTGAAAGATGATCATAAATCTAAAAGAGTAAGGATATCCTGAAATAACTCTAAATGAAGTGGAAATTGAAGTATTTTCAAGGAAACAACAATATTATGAAATTTTTGTTGCTTTATTGTGAGACCACAATTTAAGATGAGGCCTGGTGCTTCCTCAATTACAGGAACCATATTAATAAACAAGAGCAGAATATCTGGGTATGGAAAGAACGGCATAGGTTGAGGAGACAGTGCTATGGTTATCAACTGAAGTGCCAAAACATTTACACCAATAACAAGCTTGTGTTGGACACTCCAACAAAAAGCTCTTACCTATGTCCCCTTGGAACCTAATTAATAAATTGATTCATTTTAAAGTGCCACTAAAACCAAAACATTTTTTCAGTAAAAAAAAATTTCATGGTTTTACTGATCAACACAGTGAGAAAAGTAATGTCACATTAAAAATAAAACACATAAAACCTCCAAATTCTACAAGCAGTAAAAGTTTAATTTTTATGTTTCACAACTGTGCATCTTAGCACCTGGATTGAGGAAGGTTGTTATAGCATCCTGAAAAAACCTTGCTACAAGGCTGCAATAACTTAAAAGATGCTTTGCCAAGAAAGGGGAAATGCTTGTGGGAATTTCCCTTTTTTAACCATTGAGGACCCTCCACAAAATACCTAAAGAAAGCCATGTCATCTAGAGAATCAAACTTGAACAGTGACTGAATGACTTCAAAGCATCCGCAGCTTCTAATCTATCAGAATATAACACAGAGATGGAGGAAATTGATTGTGCACCGAAAGTGAAGCCTCGATGAATAGTGTCAAGAGACCCCTGACATCAATGAAAAATAACTCTATTGGACCCTTACAAGTTCATCTGAAGAGGGACATGCCCAAAACACCTAAGATATAACATGAAGATGAACATGGCTATCAGTGAAGATTTTAAATCATATATCTAAGCTTGATTAGAAGGTAGAGCATGACCTTCCAGAGCACTTGTTAAATTTCACCACAGACACATTAGAGACTTTAAAAAAAGCAAATAAAACTAGAGCTAGCAAAAACTAGAACGTAGAATGTAACAGAACTTTCAAACAATGTAGAATCAGTGGCCACTGATTCAATCCATTTAAAAGCAAGTGATGTAAACAAATTAGCCTCTAAATCAAATCTTAAACTGGCAGAGGTTGACAAGCATCTTGTAAACGTGAGAGCACAAACAGACAAGAGAGTTGAATAATTTACTTGTGCACT